TGGACATACATTCACCAGACGACATGTGTGACATTTTTTCTACTGGTAAATAGATATTACTGACGAGTGTAATCCTTATAAAACAGTTACAATTAGACCTCATTACAAACGGTGGTTCAACTCCGACTAAAGACACGAAATTAAAGAAAGAAACAGATTATTACAAAAAATGTAATTCCAGTCGCACTCGTAATAATTTTAATAACAAGAAACAGCGAAATTACGTTAACAATCTGAAAAAAGGACGAAAGATTTTTCTACGCCGACATCAACGGACTTTTGGACAATTTTATTATTATAAAACAGACGTACTTTTACTGAAATATATAGATCCTTTATACAACCAAATCTAGAATATCGATGTGAAGTATGGGACGGTTGTTCTCTAACTGATGCAAATAAGTTAGAAAAAGTTACAATCTTTATATAATGAAACAGGTTGGGAAACTTTGGCCGACAGAAGACCCGCAGAAAGCTTAATCTATTTAACAATATTTATCACAACACAGCTCATGACTATCTCAATACTCTACTCCCTTGACTTGTAGATAACCCTAATCATGGTCTCAGGAAACTGAAGATTATATCCTACCTAACAATAAGCTCCAGTTGTCTGATACTTTTGTTTTTCGTCTACTATTAGGCTACTCAGTGAACGGAAAAATAACACTTTGCAACCCAAATTAGAAAATAATGCTAATGCTCTTAAAAGTGATTTTTTTCAAGTAAATCTATCTACTAATGAACGTTGTACATGTGGCTCTCCTGTTGAAGATACCTATCATTTCTTTTTTATCTGTGATAATTATAATGTCCAGCGAATAAAGTTGTTTCGTCAACTTAATGAATACATACCCTTAAACTTACTCCTGTTCGGTGACACTTCACTTTCTGAACAAGAAAACCAAACCATATACTCAGCAATATATTCACAAAACAAACAGATTCTAGCAAGCAGATTCCTGAATTTAAGGCATGTGGACAATTTATCTCACTTGTTTCGCTTACATGGAGATGGAGCAGATGCATGATCTACATATAGACAAAGTATTCTAGACATACAAAGTTCGTGTTATAACCAACACCCCCCCCCTCTCTCTCTCTCTAAATTTGTTTATAATTGATTATTATATCAGACTGTCACCTTGTAAATGTAATGTGTGTGTATCAATAAGTTTGGAAATCGCTTTATATAAGTTGTAAAACTTGTGCCCAATCCTATTGCTACTTTAGTGCAGTATAATATGTTTGAATTAGATCAAATCAAAATTTGCGCTGAACATTGATATAGGATCTTGAATAACTTTTTTTACTTCATTTGAGGCCTTACAACTCGACTCTAAGAAGCTTTTTGTTTTTACGAGACTTGAAAAGTAAAATAGGAAAACTTAAATATGAATTTCATAAAATTTCAAATGAAATAAAAACTTAAGATTTTAAGATATCACAGACGAAAAATTACATCATAACACATTTATCAAGGACGACATCGAACGGAGGCAGCCATTTTCAATTCAGGACGAAACGTCATCGACAAAGTTATGCCATAATAATGAATTTCTGATTGGTGAAGCTGTGAATGCCAGAACATAGTACACTACTAGCATGTACCCAAAACCATTACATGGTTCAATTAACTCGTAACAGGATGTGGCCAAAGAAATATTTGAAGAGTGACTCAATATTTAACACCGTCAGCAAGCTGAAGAGCCACACCTTGTAACACGTTTTGCTGTGTATCTGTAATGACGTCATACATGAATGACCTAGTTAATTTAAAGCTATGTACGTGTAAGTCTGTACTAAGTAACATCGTGTCATCTGAAACATCGCCCGTGTAACTTATCGAAGTTCTGTTAGAAAAAAAATATATCTAAAATGATCGGTAATGAAGGACAATTAAACCTATGACTTTGGTGACCTGCAAGTTGACCTTCGGAATATTTCTTTTTATATTTTACCTTTGGTGACCTATGTCATTTTGCAATGTCATGGTGATAAGACATAATCAGTAATAAGGCATGTTGATTTAATGATATTGTGCAGGGGGCATAGTTTTGATAATCTTTAAAATAACATGGTTGTATGTGTTCTGTTACCGTCAAACATGAAAAACAATGTTCGGAACAAAATATTTCCTTTCTTTATTTTAAGAAATGTTTGATAAGGCTGACAACACACATGTTTACTCACATTTGATACGAATGAAATAAAGAGATCATTCTCTCTTGCACATGACAGACTTCATAAAACAAAACCAACAGCAAAATTGACACGTGTAAAACATGATTTACAGTAGAAAACGACACTCTGATTGGTCAAAACTACGAAAGTTATATCATCATTCCTTTATTTCCCTCACCTGCCCTACCACGTGGGTTTTCTCCGGGTATTCCGGTTTTCTCCGGGTAATCCGGTTTCCTCCCACAATAAGACCCCTCGCGCTCTTATATCCAGGAGTAATAAGTATAAGTTGATATCACCTCTTTCGCTGTTGTTGTAAAATATACTGAGAGGAAAAAGAAACGCAATTAGCAGAAAGTTAATATTGTAAATTAATCCTTGACGTACAAACTTGACAAATGTTTGCATTTGAGTTAGATTCCTATGATACCGTATTAAAATCACTGACGCATAACTAAACTGCGCACGCCGCTTGTACAAAAGAATAAGAAACAAAAGCACGATATCTCGAACCCAGTATAAAGGATTGGTTAAAAATCTGTGTGTGCGAATCTTCAGACATATCCGTCTTGATTTCCCACATTTTAAGCATAAACAGTTCTTCGTAAAAAATGTCGCGGCTGTCCGAAGTTGATAGGGGTCGTGCCATTGTACTTCTTATGCAAGGTACCCCGCAAAATCAGGTCGCTAATCTATTTGGAGCCCATCCATCGAACATTTGCCGTCTCATCCAAAGACTATATGCCACCGGAAGGGTTGCAGACCGTCTCCGAAGCAGTCGCCCTCGTGTGACGACGCGTCGGCAGGATAGGGCAATGCGCTTTCGCGCCTACGCAATCGCTTTCTGACGGCCACGGAAACAGCAAGGAACACAATTGGGCGTCATCATGTTCCAATTGATCCAAAGACAGTGCGTTCTCGACTGCCTGCCTTCGGTCTCAGACCGCGGCGGCTATATGTTGGACCACAGCTTAATGCGCTGCGACGTGCCAGACGAATACAATGGCTGAAAGCACATTCAGTTAGACGCTTCCCAATGCAACGTTGGAGAAGGGCCCTGTTCTCATATAAGTCCAGGTTTTCGCTTTACCGGGCAGACGGCCGACGTCGTGTCTATAGACGTACCCACGAGCGCTATGCAGATGCTTGCGTGATAGAGAATTACCGCTTTGGAGGAGGATCGGTCATGGTATGGGGAGGGATTGCGCATGGTATCAAGACTCCTCTGGTCGTTATTCAGGAAAATCTCACGGCCGTCCGCTATAGAGATCAAGTCCTAGCGTCGCATGTTGTTCCTCTAGTACAGCAGCGCCAACTGACGTTTCAGCAGGACAACGCCCGGTCGCATGTAGCGAGGGTTTGCTGTGGTTATCTCGCAGCAAACAATGTACCCACCCTAGACTGGCCCCCATACAGCCATGACCTCACCCCAATAGAACATTTATGGGACGAGTTGGACAGAAGGATAAGACGTAGGCCGAATCCTCCAATCAACGTCACTCAGTTGGCATTGGCGCTGGATGAGGAATGGAATCGTATACCAATGAGGAGAGTTAATACCTCGATCAATTCAATGCACAAAAGAGTCCGTGCAGTTACTGCAGCTCGCGAGGGGCACACACGATATTGATGGGTCCAGAACGCGCTTTATTTTGAGTGGGGTACTCTTGTATCAACGTCAAATTTGAAAGGTTTACTTAACGTACACGAATGAAATTCTTCCTGTTACACCATAATTACATTTAAAAACCCTTTTCTATTTCCCGTAGTTGACATGAAAATTCCTAATTGCGTTTCTTTTTCGTCTCAGTATATATAAAATTCATAAATTTTATGGAAATTTCCGTCGCAAAGGTGTAATAAAACAAATAGAAAGACAACACACACACACACACTCTCTCTCTCACACACACACACACACACACACACTCTCTCACACACACACACACACACACACACACACACACACACACACACACACACACTCTCTCTCTCTCTCTCTCTCTCTCTCTCTCTCTCTCTCACACACACACACACACACACACACACATATATATATTATACAACAAATTATTGGCGTAAAATACCGGGATAGTCTACGACTCATCAATACAAAAATGTATGCCATACACCCACACACTGCTTTCTATCTAGGACTTTGTGCTTCTTGTACTCTTCAGAGATTTCCGTGTAAATCTTTCTTTTGAACATATGGTAGTAGTAGTAGTTTCATTCATTAAAAGTTGAATTAAGATTATATAATCATATCTGTATATCATGTTTCTCTTTTATTGGGGAACCCAATCCCCCACTGAGATATTACATGACCTATGTGAGGTATATCAACAGAAAACACAAATATTATTAGAATAAGAGAATCACACCATAAAACAAGTAATAATATAATATTATAATAAATATTGTGATACCATGATATTATGATATAATAATATTATAACGAAATCAATCGTATTTCCATGTAATGTGACCAGATTGACATTCAAATCTTCTTTCAATATTCTATTTGGACATTACATATGCTACCATCCTGTTTCTTGTTTTCCTTTGGGAACATAGGTATACCAATTTGGGCTATTACATAATTCTTATGGCGTCCAAGTGTTCGTTGTTATATAGTACTTTATAACACACATTTGCTTACCTAACTATCTGCTTAAACTATTTTTGGATGTAAGTTTCAAACTATCGTATTTCACGCTTGTGTGTCTTTTATAAAATCTTATCACAAACATGCTTGAGGGTGGTTGCTTTTCATAGCTGCTTATTCCGAAGGTGGAGTCCGTAACATCATACGGTTAGTTGTCAAACATGTAGACAACGTTGACGAAGTTCGACTCAGAATCATATATCAGGTTGATATTATTCACAACAACTTTAATTTCGTCTCCGACATCTAGGTAATGGTATAATGGACCTGTTTGGCTAGGAAGCACCACGGCTCGACCAAGAGTTGTCTTGTTGAAGATAAGAGTCTTCTGTGTGCCAAACCTGTAGAGCTTGATGCCATGGTAGGCTATCAATGACCTTCGGGGACGTCTGTGTGCGGAAAAGGTGTCAAACAAAATGGCGGAGAAGATAGAGTAGTAGCCAGCTCTATGTATCCTGATACGTCCGTTGTGTGTGAGCTCTATATCTCCTCTGATGTAGTGGTCCTGACTTGTGTTTGTCCACACCAAATGTCCTTCTGTAATAATAAATAAATAAATAGATAAATCAACCAATCAATTAATCTGTATGGTTTCAAGAATTATAAAATCGAAACAACAAAATGTAGAATTATACATAAGGGTTCTGACCTGTTATCCTCTTGTTTTACGAGTAATATGCAAGTCACTTTATGTACATCAAGACGTGCCACGTCAAGCAAGGATGGTCAAAGTAAGTTCTGTTCCTACTCTCAGTATAAAATTGTCGGGTATAAGATCATCGTTAAAGAGTATAATTATCGTCTCTACTGATTTGTTTACCTACTCTCAGTATAAAATTGTCGGGTATAAGATCATCGTTAAAGAGTATAATTATCGTCTCTACTGATTTGTTTACCTACTCTCAGTATAAAATTGTCGGGTATGAGATCATCGTTAAAGAGTATAATTATTGTCTCTACTGATTTGTTTACCTACTCTCAGTATAAAATTGTCGGGTATAAGATCATCGTTTAAGAGTATAATTATCGTCTCTACTGATTTGTTTACCTACTCTCAGTATAAAATTGTCGGGTATAAGATCATCGTTAAAGAGTATAATTATCGTCTCTACTGATTTGTTTACCTACTCTCAGTATAAAATTGTCGGGTATAAGATCATCGTTAAAGAGTATAATTATCGTCTCTACTGATTTGTTTACCTACTCTCAGTATAAAATTGTCGGGTATAAGATCATCGTTAAAGAGTATAATTATCGTCTCTACTGATTTGTTTACCTACTCTCAGTATAAAATTGTCGGGTATAAGATCATCGTTTAAGAACATAATTATTGTCTCTTCTGTTTTTATTTACCTATCGTTTAAGAACATGATTATTGTCTCTACGGTGAAGTTTACATAACGGTAGTGTGATAATAGGATACTGGTTGTTGACTAAGGATACTGGTTGTTGAATTAGGATACTGGTTGTTGAATTAGGATACTGGTTGTTGATTAAGGATACTGGTTGTTGATTAAGGATACTGGTTGTTGATTAAGGATACTGGTTGTTGATTAAGGATACTGGTTGTTGACTAAGGATACTGGTTGTTGATTAAGATACAGTTTGTGAATCTGCTGTCCTTTTTGTGCATAGACTTATCTCTACCGACAAAAAACTGATAACCGTTATGAACTTGTAACCAATCACTTTATAAGTGGGTGGGTGGGGGGTTGGGAGGGGGGGGGGGGGTTACTCCGATAAATAAGTATGTTAAAACTAATCAGCTCCAGCTCCAGAAATAAGATATACTGTATCACATGTCTTAATAAAAACACGGCTTCTTGTTTCACAAAAATGTTAACGGCAGTTAGTATCACGCAACAGTCCCAGACTTTCAAACATGGACACAAAGAGAATATTCTCTTATAACACAACATTGTATACTGTCCCTTTGTACAAGAAAGTTAATTATTTTAGAGGGTACTAGTATATACTTCTTGTTACGTGATAAGCACGTGACCTTGAATTATCCCTGTATTTATCATCATTGCTCTCGATTGACTAAGGAGGGATCATAAAGGTAAATTATCCTGGTATTGTAACTGAAACTAACCTGTACTTTCAGACAGATCCAACTCTAGAAAAACACTAGGAGTTATCTCCTCGTGATGGTGTCCACTTTCTGAAAAAAAAAAAAACAAAAACAACCGTAAATACAAGGAAATATAAAGTCATTATGAAATATCGTATAAATTTGGTTGGGAATGGTCTTCATTTTTTTCTGATAAATACAATTCATTCCTGATAAGCATAGAACATGTTTCCGGTATTAAATTGCTACACATAGATATTGCGACCCTACTTATTTTGGTAGTATTATATTACGGACTTACTCGTTTTATACATCAATCTACATTAAATGTCTAGAAATCCTTTCACATTGAAAAAGAAAATAAAATTTTCATTTGTGTAAACTTCGCTGGATGACGACAAGAAATTAAGTTATCCTGAGGTCATTGCACAGCCATGATTCCTATGATGATTACCATGTGAAGGGTCTGTAAGGGAGGTAGACGAGTGATGATTTGTTGTCGGGTTAGCTGGTATCTGAAACAACAATAGACATATCCTGTCTTTAAAAATGAAGAGGAACACGATTAATTAATAGCAAATTAATAACACTTCCGTTTGAAATAAAGTCTTATAGGATAAATATGCATGTTGACCAATGTTTTATCCATTCATGTTTACAGAAAAGTTGAGACAGGTACTTGACTCTTATACAAGCATGCTACAGTATTATCACTTTTTCCATAGCACCAATATATTGATACACAATAACACCTAAATCCATTGATAGCCGAATTACCATCAATATATCCAATACATTTATATGTCTTATGACAATAAATAAACAAACAAATAAATAAATATCCTTTGCATTTTAATTACAATTATAATTGTGTCATTTCATAAATGAATTTAAGTTCGTCATGGTTGACTGAACGCAACAAGACCTCAGTATTACTCATATTCTGTTGTGAATGAATACTGGAAAACCCGTGTAGTCATTCATAAATATAGAAACACGTGTTCATGTGAGAAATTGCTGTGGTTGCAAAACACTCCCTTCACAAGGTGTACCTTTTTAATGTGTATGTTTTTTTTGAAAATAAAACATAATAGCTTACCTTGACAAAAGTGCAGGCGATCAGAGTAAACAAGACAGTGTAAGTGTGGTATTCAACATTCATGTTTACACCTTTCAGAAAAAAGTTTACAACGAAATAGTATGCTAATAATACAGAGACGAATGGTGCCCTCTATATGTGTTGTTAAACGGTAGAAGACGGTACAATGCTCGTGTATGAAATATTACTGGTAACGTGAGACATTTATACCCGACATGTATGCGTAGGTGTAAAAAATATTGATATCGTAGCGAAATTCCAGTTCCAGCCGACATCCTTAGGTATTTCGTTATAACATGCAATATCACCGTTTGATGATCAGGCGCTGTCAAGTTATAACAAGAGAGCAAAGAAATTAGCCGTGCATAACTAGACACAATCACAATACTTATTAATTGAAAGAAAATACCCGACATAGTTAGAATATCATTCAATATACCTAACTGAACAAGAATGACACTGGAAGTATAAATAGGTATTGTATGCACGTGTTAAACAATTGTTCAGTCATTTCTTAAAACTCGTTGTGCAATGTATGCAATAATGGACGACGCGTGTACTTCCATATATGATACAATATTTCTTTTATTTCAAATAATTTTAAAAACGACAATTTTCATAAACTGTTAGGAGTGTTCACAAGATTCAATGAAATCACTTTTATTTCTTAATTCAATATCAATAGATCTACACACCTTCATATGTCGAGGTATTTCCATTATATATCAACACATCCACACCCTCCCGTAAGTCGAGGTATTTCCGTTATATATCAACACATCCACACCCTCCCGTAAGTCGAGGTATTTCCGTTATATATCAACACATCAACACCCTCCCGTAAGTCGAGGTATTTCCATTATATATCAACACATCCACACCCTCCCGTAAGTCGAGGTATTTCCATTATATATCAACACATCCACACCCTCCCGTAAGTCGAGGTATTTCCATTATATATCAACATATCCACACCCCTCCCGTAAGTCGAGGTATTTCCATTATATATCAACATATCCACACCCTCCCGTAAGTCGAGGTATTTCCATTATATATCAACATATCCACACCCTCCCGTAAGTCGAGGTATTTCCATTATATATCAACACATCCACACCCTCCCGTAAGTCGAGGTATTTCCATTATATATCAACATATCCACACCCTCCCGTTAGTCGAGGTATTTCCATTATATATCAACACATCCACACCCTCCCGTAAGTCGAGGTATTTCCATTCTATATCAACACATCAACACCCTCCCGTAAGTCGAGGTATTTCCATTATATATCAACACATCCACACCCTCCCGTAAGTCGAGGTATTTCCATTATATATCAACACATCCACACCCTCCCGTAAGTCGAGTTATTTCCATTATATATCAACATATCCACACCCTCCCGTAAGTCGAGGTATTTCCATTATATATCAACACATCCACACCCTCCCGTAAGTCGAGGTATTTCCATTATATATCAACATATCCACACCCTCCCGTAAGTCGAGGTATTTCCATTATATATCAACACATCCACACCCTCCCGTAAGTCGAGGTATTTCCATTATATATCAAGACATCCACACCCTCCCGTAAGTCCAAACATGTACAGTTATTTACATCTCCAAACATGTAGTTATTTACATCTCTAAACATGTACAGACATTTACATCTCCAAACATGTAGTTATTTACATCTCTAAACATGTACAGTCATTTACATCTCCAAACATTTACAGTTATTTACATCTCTAAACATGTACAGTTATTTACATCTCCAAACATGTACAGTTATTTACATCTCCAAACATGTAGTTATTTACATCTCTAAACATGTACAGTTATTTACATCTCCAAACATGTACATCTCCAAACATGCAAACATGTAGTTATTTACATCTCTAAACATGTACAGTTATTTACATCTCTAAACATGTACAGTTATTTACATCTCCAAACATGTACAGTTATTTACATCTCCAAACATGTAGTTATTTACATCTCTAAACATGTACAGTTATTTACATCTCCAAACATGTACAGTTATTTACATCTCCAAACATATACAGTTATTTACATCTCCAAACATTTCATCTAATATGTACAAAACATCCATTTCTCATCCACATTTCTCATATTGTATCCTGTATAGATTATCAGATGAACACACACCCTTATGTCGAAGTTTGTCCTGTATCGATAATCAGATCCACACACACCTTTATGTCGAGATTTGTCCTGTATCGATAATCAGATCCACACACACCTTTATGTCGAGGTTTGTCCTGTATCGATAATCAGATCCATACACACCCTTATGTCGAGGTTTGTCCTTTGAAAATCATCAGATCCACACACACACCAATATGGCGAGATTTTACCTTTATAGATAATCAGACACACACCCACCCATATGTCGAGATTTGACTTTGTAGATATTCAGACACACACATATGTCGAGATTTGGCCTAAATATATATAATCAAACACACACACATATGTCGAGATTTGTCCTTTATAGATAATTAGACACACACACCCATATGTCGATATTTGTCCTTTATAGATAATCAGACACACATACATATGTCGAGGTTTGTCCTTTATAGATAATCAGACACACACACATATGTCGAGATTTGACCTTTATATATAATCAGACACACACACATATATCGAGATTTGACCTTCATATATAATCAGACACACACACACACACATATGTCGAGATTTGACCTTTATAGATAATTAGACACACACACACACACATATGTCGAGATTTGACCTTTATAGATAATTAGACACACACACATATGTCGAGATTTGACCTTTATAGATAATTAGACACACACACATATGTCGAGATTTGACCTTTATAGATAATTAGACACACACCCATATGTGAAGGTTTGTCCTTTATAGATAATTAGGCATATTGCCGTGAATACAATATTTAATGAAACTGTACAATATCGTTCTATGTTCAAAAATCAGTCAGGTAAATTTTGATAAATTTCGAAATCGTGTTGTGGATTATGGGGAACTTGATGTTACAATTCATGTTGTAAGTAAAGTGATTGATAGATAAGTAGCAGGAAGGAATTACGTTTTACTGGACTGACAGTGAAAATCTTACTAGTGACACCATAATATGAAATATGGACTGTCATTAATGCGAAAGCAAGTTGAACACGGTGCATACTTTCAACAGCCTGATTCATGGCTTCACTTTTTTTTCATTTGCTTATTTTTTGCAAGATTTTTACAATACACTACCAATATGTCAACAAGTACGAGTGTGTTTGCGTTGATATTGTCAGGCCCCTACTGTGGCTGATTCGGGACATCGTAATATCACTTCGTTTAATGGGAAGCGATATTGAGATATCATGATATCACGATGCGATACCACGATAGCAAGAAGCGATAACACGATAGCACGATGCGAAACCACGATAGTGCAATGCGATATCGTGATATCGAATCGTGCTATCGTGATATCGCACCGTGCTATCGTAATATCGCAATCTCGCTTCCCATTAAACGAAGCGATATTACGATGTCCCTAATCAGCCACCATAGGCCCCGCTAATTATCGTCTTTTCGCCCCGACAAATAATAAGCGGGGCGAAAAGACGATAATTATGGTTTTGTTGCGGCGAAAAAAACTATAATTAGTGACTTCAAGTTTTCATTATTTCGCGTTGAGTTTTATCGTCTTTTCGTTATGTCGCTACGAAAAGACGAAATTTAGCGTGGGCGAAAAGACGATAATTATCGTTTTGTTGCGGCGAAAAGACGATAATTAGCAGGTCGAAAAGACGATAATTATCGTTTTGTCGTGGCGACAAAACGAAACAACGAAATGGCAGAAATCAGCCACCATAGTAATACACAACCGATATATTGGTAAGGTATATTAAAGCAATATCACACACTGGTAAATTAGAGACTATAAATGTAATGGCAAAGCTCGAGGACTTGAATTTCCACCTGGCACCATTTTATACATGAATCTTTAACACAATAGAGGCAGTATTCACCAAACAAAAAACAAAATTAAATATTATAGTTTCGTCTTCATTCTCATCGCCCTCTTACGTCAACAGAACACTACAGTGAGAACGCCCTGTGAAAATAATTGTATCGCTGACACATTCGCATGAAAATGCTGATTCTGCATGGGATTTCCATGTCAGTGGTTAAAAAATAAATGTGTTTGGCTGTCAATATTTACATGTCGTGTTAAGTTATGGCTTACGTCTGTTGTTAATATCTTTGCCTATAATTTTATATCTCTGCACTGTAAGTCCTGTTTCTTTCCTGTTTTACATTTTTTGGTGAAATTTAAGAAACGGATAATTATCCGAGGATCATGAACTGATAAGCTGGGAATGGCACTCTACAAAACAGCTGACTGTTCCACGAAACATTTTCAACTCTCCTTGGGGTTAAACTAAAAATTTATAACAGTACATTCTGAAACAAGTGAAGGTAACTCGGATCGAACAGAGAATTGTTCAAATTATTAAGCGGCCTTATCGGGATGGGTGGGGGTGTAACAAGAGATGAAATCGGAAATGAAACCAACACTTTGCGTCACAAACAGCGCCTTTACTGACTGAACTGTGTACAATGTACCGAAAGTAGGACGTAAAGGTAAAAGTACATCAGAGTGCTTAGGGTTTGATAGGAATTTCCATTTCAAGTCGGCGGGGCTGAGAAGCCGGACAAGCCTTCAGTATGAAATTTGAGTCTAAAGTTTACATTGGTTTATATAAGTAAATATCACAATGTCCGGTGTAAATGTCTGATCCCGAATGGGAGATTTCCGAAAAATAAATATATTATTTTTGATCAATTACTGTCTTTTATTCTTCGTGTGATTAGAGTATATTAGGTTGTAACAAGTCCTGCCACAATAAGCACCTTATGTGTGTGAAAAGTAAAAGTGAATGAAAACAGAACTCAACAAAACCCATCACACTACGCGCGTAATCAATTTTGGACAGCTTGCATGAATCCTTGATTGGGACGAACTTCGAAGAGCCGACAAATCAGTT